CTTGCTATCAGAGTCTTTGCAACACGTGCAGAGTACCTGATGGTCTTAGGTGAGTCAGTTGTTTGCCTTCAAGGTCAAGTTTTATAAAGGTAGTGACTCATTTTTTTTAATGCTAGAAATGAGAAATTATTCTAAATATGGTTATTAACTATAGGTGGGAAATACACAGTTTCTGTGACTTTTGGAGAGGTATCAGGAGATGTTGATGAAGACTCTGGACATAACCTTCAGAAAAATGCACACGCACATACAGACATAGGAAAAATCATGTTATTCATAGGGTTTTTGATCCTCAGAACCATCCTGTTGCTCTGCAGTGGCTTATCGATCATGGAGCATGAACACTTTGTCTGTGTCATCATTTGATTAAAATCCATCATGGAAATGATTTCCATGTTTACCCTAGTGGAATAAATTAATAATCCTTGTTTCATTTATTTCAGAAATAACCAGCTTGTAGCTTTTCCAAAAGTATATTGCTAGACCAAGAGTGGGAATTTGAGGGCCTGGGACATTGAGTGACACTACAAACTGAGAATAAGGTGATAGGACAATGAATTGCTAAAAGAGCAGTTAGAAGGAGTGATTATGGTGGATTAGGTCAAAGGTTTAGGGAGAACAAAGAAAGCAGTTAGGACCTAGAGGCAAATGCTGCTGTCATCTGAGGAGACGTGAGGCTGGCTGAGGATGTACAGGGCAGGCCTTCTCTGAATGGCATGTGTGAAGCAACATGCTCACCCAACCATCCAGAGTTTCTGTTCAAAAAGTAAACTGTGGACAGTCTTAAAAATTACATGTCTGGGGCGCCTGGGTGGCTCAGTCGTTAAGCGTCTGCCTTGGGCTCAGGTCATGATCCCAGGGTCCTGGGATCGAGCCCCACATCGGGCTCCCTGCTCGGCGGGAAGCCTGCTTCTCGCTCTCCCACTCCCCCTGCTTGTGTTCCTGCTCTCGCTCTCTCTCTCTCTGTCAAATAAATAAATAAAATCTTTAAAAAAAAAAAATTACATGTCTGAGAGTTGCCAGTTTAAGAGAAGAAAAAAATAAAGCTCTGAAATATATTGCCAAATTTTAAAGTTCACGAGTTTTCAGTCTGTAGAGCCAGCATCCCATTTCTGATTCCAGAAACCCTGGGAGTATATTAGCTTTAGGTGTGAAGATGCGGGCTCTGGACTTAACGACCACCCCCTCTGGTTGTTGTTTTTTTTTTTTTTTTTTTTTTCCCGGGCTTTAGTTGATGATCCTGTGGAAACAAAAATGACTTTGCTTGGTTTGGCAGAAGTGCAAGAAAGATAAGCTGCTTGGGGAAGAGGGAACCTGTTCCAATCCCTGTCCCAAGGTCTTTTCAAAATGTATGCGTCAGCCTGAGAAATTTTCATATGTAATCCTAAGTCTAATTATTTAGTTTGGCTACAAAGGATTGGTGAAGCCTGCTTTTAATCGTTTTGATGCTAACATTGTTACAAGGCAACATTAAATCATTTTGAAATGATAATACTTTACGTTAGTCACTATTTCGCAGCTGCTTTTCCTTGTCACATTTGAAACTAAACCCAATAGAATTGGCTATAGTAAAAGAAAAGAAAGCAAGTGACTACCTCAAGTTTATTTTCCAGGTGGTAACGGTAGAAACAACAAATGAAATGCAAGATTCTTAAACATCCTGCTCCCCTCATTGGCATTGCTGTTATTCAGGGACTTACCATCTTTCAGAAATTTCTGGGTAGTCTCCTTGCTCCCACTTTTCCAATTCTCATCCATCCTGAACACTGCAGCCAGACTTTTTTTCCAACACTCAGTTAAAGTTTTTGTCATTTTTCTATGTAATATGTTTTAGTGGCTTCTTGTTACCTAGATGATAACCAAACTCCCCAGCGTGCCATTTTGGGCTCGATTATCTGGAGGCTGCCTTGATGTCCAGCCTCACATATTCTGTATGTTCTAGCATACCAAACTATACTTCAATTCCACAAATATTTAATAAGTACTTAATTTGTCTCCAAGACACTGAGCTAGTGCTGTGGATTCAAAGATAAGTTAGACATAGTCTTTGTGGATTCAAAGATAAGTTAGACATAGTCTTTGTGCTGAAGGAGCTCACACTGCAGAGTAGGAGACATATTAAAAATGCAGTGTGTGAGGGCACCTGGGTGGGTCAGTCGGTTAAGTGTCTGCTTTTGGCTCAGGTCATGATCCCAGGGTCCAGGGATTGAGCCCCACATTGGGCTACCTGCTTAGCGGGGAGCCTGCTTCTCCCTCTCCCACTCCCCTTCCTTGTGTTCCCCTCCCCCTGCTTGTTTTCTCTCTCTCTCTCAAATAAATAAATAAAATCTTTAAAACAATTTTTTTTAAATGCTGTGTGTGAATGTGATGTATGATGATATATGCCCTTGTACATTCCCGTGTTCTTCTGCCTTGAATAAACTTCTCTTTATATCTTTCCTGTAAAGCTTCCATTTGTCTTTCAACACTATTGTCAGTTATCATCTTCTTTTATACAGTGATGCACAATTACTTGAAATATTTCTTTTGTGTATACTTGTATTAGAATTTATTTCACTTATATTGTATTTTGTGTATGTATCTATTTATGGATTGCTCTGTGAGCCACTTGAAGGCAGGGCTTGGTCAGGACCACACCCTTAGCTACATGCTCAATACCTAACATGTAATAGATTCTTATAGATATTTGTGGACTGGATACCTTTTTTTTTTTTTTTTTAAGTAGGCTTCATGCCCAGTGTGGAGCCCAGTGTGGGGCTTGAACTCGTAACTCGGAGATCAAGACATGAGCTGAGATCAAGAGTCAGACACTTAACTGACTGAGCCACCCAGGCACCCCCTGAATAGCTTTTTAATATTAGTCCAGTATTATAAAAAAAAAAATACAGAGAAGTTCTCATCTTCATGACTCAGGTTTAATGGAAGACGAGATAACATTCTTCTTTGATAGAACTTACTTTTCCCAAACTGGAATTTAATAATCATACTCAAAGTAACAGTTAATATTTATTGAACTTTTCCTATCTTCAAGCTATTGTTTTAAGAACCGTAAGTAAATTATCTCCTTTAATCATCCTAACACTTATATGAGTTGGGAAATACAATGACTTCCTTTTTACAAATTTTGTAGAAAATTTAAAAAATACATCATCATGATTGTAATAGCTGATAGTTATATAGCACTTACTGTGTTCCAGGCACCATTACAATGCTGATCGTATATTAAGTACTTTATTCTTCACACCTCCATGATTTATTAATAGCTTATATTATTCTTTCCTCAGCTCTGCTTTATAGTTAGTATGGAATGTTTATTGGATATGAGTCCTACAAAAATAAGCTTACTGTATTTGGAGATGCTAGAAAATATTATTCAATGTGTCTCTGGTCTGAAAAACTTTTAAAGTTATATCTAGCTTAATAGAAAATAATTAGTGTAGAGTTCAGACTTCTATCCAGTGTACATAAAGCATGATTCATAAACATTAATAAGACCACCTCACCTGAGAAATCAAATGGTATCATATATTCTTGAGCATACAGCCTTTTGGTTTGTCAAAACTAAGATCAAAATCTGTCTTGCTGAATAAGGGAAGTAACATTTAACCATTGTAAATTAGGAAAGAGTGAGGGAATTCTCAAAAATATGAAATAATAAAGCCCACAGTTGATCTGTGGAACATATAGGCTTTAAATTTCAAAGACCAAAGATACATTTTATTAGGGGTTGAAAACTGCCATAATACATTTTAGAAGTATCTTGATAACCTATTTCTGAGACATTGTCTCTTTATATTTTTTATATTTTTCTCATCAATTAATAATGACTTAATGAAAATAATGATTTAGTTTTAAAGTCCAGAAACATTTAATGGACTTTAATAAGTAATGAGTGATATTATTACTTTATTGGTATTTAATATTATACAGTTGTAGAAAATGAGAAGGTATGACAAGTACTTGAGGCAAAATCTATTGAAAAGATTTGGATTTCTGTAAACCCAGACCTAAGTTTAAATAAGAGTCAGTCCATATCACAACTGTGAATGAAAAAAATAATTAGGACATACAGACAAGTGTCAAAAAGAAATGGGGACTGGGACTGAGGTTACCACCATGTGATGTTGTGACTTTAGGGCATGTGGCTTCACCTTGGAGGAATTAAACACCTTCATTTATAAAATCATGAATTTGTATTAATTGATTTTCAAGGTCCCTTCCTGCTTTACAGTTTGATCCCATTATTGGTTCAGAATCATATATCTTTCAGAATCCATTTTCTTGCATTTGGGTTTCTCTGTTTACTTCACAAATACATGAAATAGGAACAGTATAATCCTCCAAACACAGTCATGATTTTTTTTTTTTTTTAAGATTTTATTTATTTATTTGACAGAGAGATAGAGAGAGAACACAAGTAGGCAGAGAGAGAGGGATAAGCAGGCTCCCTGCTGAGCAGGGATCCCGATGCGGGACTCGATCCCAGTACCCTGGGATCATGACCTGAGCCGAAGGCAGCCGCTTAACCGACTGAGCCACCCAGGTGCCCCACAGTCATGAATCTTAACATTATCAAAAGTAGAGGGCAGAGAAATGCTCTGAGGTTTATCACACACTTAGTTTGATGCTTATTTTGCATATATTGATTGATTTAACCAGTGTGCAAATGTACTGTAGATTGATGTTTTAATTTATAACTTAAGAAGATGACCAGAGTTGTGAAATATTTTGCATTTAATTGCTTTAATACTCATTTTAGTATCTTGCATTTTTTCATGTGTAAGATCAATATTGTATCAGTAAAATACAAATGTCATAAATCACACTGATTTCTAAATGAATGTGTGCTTAAAACTGTATATTGTTTGCTTATATCTAAATTGGAGCATTTGTGCTGTATATATTCATTTACAGAGTGCAAAAATGTATGTATTGAGGCAAATAAATATTTTGCTAATTAATTTTTTCTTTCTTTCTATTTCTCTTTTACTTTCCCATAGACTTGCTGCTTTCAAACAGCTGCATTCCCTTTTTGGGTTCATCAGAAGGACTAGATTTCCAAACCATCCTGTTGGATGAGGAGAGGGGCAGGCTGCTTGTAGGAGCCAAGGACCACATCTTCCTGCTCAGTCTAGTTGACTTAAACAAAAATTTTAAGAAGGTTAGTTTATTTATTTGTAGTTAACTGAATATGCATTTTTCTTCATCCATGCCTTTCTTTTGTTTTAAGTGACTCAGTGTCAAATGCACTAGGTCACTTACATGTCCAAAAAGAACACATTAAAAGAACACCTTGCTTCAGATACACATTTTAGATTTTTGTGGATTTAAGTACATAGACATGTTCTCTGTTAAGAGTGAATAAGCATAGGGGCGCCTGGGTGGCTCAGTCGGTTAAGCCACTGCCTTCAGCTCAGGTCATGATTCTGGAGTCCCTGGATCGAGTCCCGCATCGGGCTCCCTGCTCGGCAGGGAGTCTGCTTCTCCCTCTGACTCTCCCCCCTCTCATGCTCTCTCTCTCTATCTCATTCTCTCTCTCAAATAAATAAATAAAATATTAAAAAAAAAAAAGAGTGAATAAGCATAGTAATAAAACCCTTGAAAATATGAATGAAAGAGATTATACAAGAGAAATGCAATGATTTAGATTGAAAAGCTGGCAAATGAGTTATTCATCAATAATTAACATTTATACCTATAGCAATTATTGTAAAATTAAGTTTTTATTAACTTTCAATGAACAAATATCAATACTTTAAATTGGCAGTGTGACTATGGTGGCATTTTAACACCACGATTTTTTTTCCCACACATTTATTTTTTAATTGAATAGTTTTCTCCTATGGCCCATATCACACTGAGAGGGTGAAGATTAATAATACCCCCAACTATGGACTCATGAAGAACAATCTACCACTAAAAGAAAAAATATGCTAGTTATAGAAAAAACAAAAGGCAACTGCTGTGGTGCTTTACATTTTCAGTTAGCAAACTGAAAATTTCCTTTTGCCCAAAGGAAAGAGTGCCACACTGTACTTTAGCAAATACCAATATCTGTGCAAGCCAAGATGGACGCCAAGACTGGAAAGGATTGAATGATGAGAAGACATAATACATGACCATTCTGCATCTACAAGACATCTTAGATTGTTTTTTCTTTCTCTCCTTTTTCAGAAGTATTGCCAAAAAAAAAAAAAATGCTAGGAGCCATTACAAGATTTCAGGTCAATAATCTCCAATACCGAATTAATAGAGGATTCTTTCCATTCAAAAAAGAGCTGTTTATAAGTCATCGTAGGACTTCAAAGCTTCAAATAGCTTTCACCTACAATGACCACTTTATCTTAAACCTCTAATTTTTGAAATGCATTTAATAACTATTCATTGCTCAGTTATTTGAATATCATTCAGGACTAAGGGCTTTAGTCTACATAGGCAAAATATTTATTTCCATATATGTTAATATTGCTTAATTAATGCCTGTATCAGAAACAATGTTTTTTGCCTTTTAATAATTTAATTTTTAAGTAGTTCTTCTGTCTATTTTTGAAGTCCACCAAAAGAAGGAGATATCTGTTATGAATGCTCAGACTTAATAAAAAAAAATAGTCTTTAAATGCAAATGTATATGCATGTGTTAGACAATTCTAAAAGAAAGTGTGAGGGTAAAATTTTGCCAGTAGTTGTTCTTAACTTGTGATAATCCAAATACACTTACAAACTCATAAGATTATTTTCTTAAAAAAAATATTATTCTGTAGTTTGATAAGCAGTGAGTTATGTGCTAGAATTTGAAAAACTTACCTTCATTCTGCCATTATAGTTCCATTTCATTTATTTTTTTAAATTTAATTTTATTATATTATGTTAGTCACCATACAAGACATCACCAGTTTTCGATGCAGTGATCCACAATTCATTGTTTTCATACAACACCCAGTGCTCCATGCAGTACGTGCCCTCCTTAATACCTATCACCGGGCTAACCCATTCCCCCACCGCCCTCCCCTCTAAAACCCTCAGTCTGTTTCTCGGAGTCCATAGTCTCTCATGGTTCTTCTCCTCTTCCGATTCCCCCCTTTATTTTTCCCTTCCTTCTCCTAATGTCCTCCATGCTATTCCTTATGTTCCACAAATAAGCGAAACCATATGATAACTGACTTTCTCTGCTTGACTTATTTCACTTAGCATAATCTCCTCCAGTCCCATCCATGTTGATGTAAAATTGGGTATTCATCCTTTCTGATGGCTGAGTAATATTCCATTGTATATATGGACCACATCTTCTTTATCCATTCATCTGTTGAAGGGCATCTCGGCTCTTTCCACAGTTTGGCTATTGCGGACATTGCTGCTCTGAACATTGGGGTGCATATGGCCCTTCTTTTCACTACATCTGTGTCTTTGGGGTAAATGCCCAGTAGTGCAATTGCTGGGTCATAGGGTAGCTCTATTTTTAAATTTTTGAGGAACCTCCACACTGTTTTCCAAAGTGGCTCTACCAACTTGCATTCTCACCAACAGTGTAAGAGGGTTCCCCTTTCTCCACAACCTCTCCAACATTTGTTGTTTCTTGCCTTGTCAATTTTTGCCATTCTAAATGGTGTAAGGTGGTATTTCAATGTGGTTTTGATTTGAATTTCCCTGATGGCTAATGATAAGGAACATTTTTTCATGTGTCTGTTAGCCATTTGTATGTCTTCTTCAGAGAAGTGTCTGTTCATGTCTTCTGCCCATTTTTTGACTTGATTATATGTTTTTTGGGTGTCGAGTTTGAGAAGTTCTTTATAGATCTTGGATACCAGCCCTTTATCTGTAGTGTCATTTGCAAATATCTTTTCCCATTCTGTGGGTTGCCTCTTTGTTTTGTTGACTGTTTCCTTTGCTGTGCAGAAGCTTTTTATCTTGATGAAGTCCCAAAAGTTCATTTTTGCTTTTGTTTCACTAGCCTTTGGAGATGTATCTTGAAAGAAGTTGCTGTGGCCAATGTCAAAGAGGTTACTGCCTATGTTCTCCTCTAGGATTTTGATAGATTCCTATCTCACACTGAGGTCTTTCATCCATTTTGAGTTTATCTTTGTGTATGGTGTAGGCGAATGGTCGAGTTTCATTCTTCTGTATATAGCTGTCCAATTTTTCCAGCACCATTTATTGGAGAGACTGTCTTTTTTCCATTGCATATTTTTTCCTGCTTTGTCAAGGATTATTTGACCACAGAGTTGAGGGTCCATATCTGGGCTCTCTATTCTGTTCCAGTGGTCTATATGTCTGTTTTTGTGTGAGTACCATGCTGTCTTGGTGATCACAGCTTTGTAATATAGCTTGAAATCGGGCAACGTGATGGCCCCAGCTTTGTTTTTCTCTTTCAACATTTCCTTGGCGATTCAGGTTCTTTTCTGATTCCATACAAATTTTAAGATTGTTTGTTCTAGCACTTTGAAAAATGTCATTGGAATTTTGATCAGGATGGCATTGAAGGTATAGATTGCTCTGGGTAGCATAGACATTTTAACAATATTTATTCTTCCGATGGAGGAACATCAGAATAACATCAGACCTATCCACAGAGACCTGGCAAGGCAGAAAGGCCTGGAAAGACATATTCAGGGTACTAAATGAGAAGAACATGCAGCCAAGAATACTTTATCTGGCAAGGCTGTCATTTAGAATGGATGGAGAGATGCAGAGCTTCCAAGATGGGCAGAAACTGAAAGAATATGTGAACTCTATGCCGGCCATGCAAGAATTAACATGATGACAATAAATTCATATCTTTCAATAATCACTCTCAATGTGAACAGCCTAAATGCTCCCATAAAATGGCACAGGGTTGCAGATTGGATAAAAAGACAGGACCCATCCATATGCTGTCTACAACAGACTCATTCTGAACCTAAAGATACATCCAGACTGAAAGTGAAGGGATAGAGATCCATCTTCCATGCGAACGGACCTCAAAAGAAAGCTGGGGTAGCAATTCTTATATCAGACAAATTAGATTTTAAACTAAAGACTGTAGTTAGAGACACAGAAGGACACTATATCGTTCTTAAAGGGTCTATCCAACAAGAAGATCTAGCAATTGTAAATATCTATGCCCCCAACATGGGAGCAGCCATCTACATAAGCCAACTGTTAACCAAAATAAAGAGTCATATTGATAACAATACGTTCATTGTAGGAGACCTCAGTACTCCACTCTCAGCATTGGACAGATCATCTAAGCAGAAAATCAACAAGGAAACAAGAGCTTTGAATGACACACTGGACCAGATGGACCTCATAGATACATACAGAACATTCCACCCTAAAACAACAGAATACTCATTCTTCTTGAGCGCACATGGAACTTTCTCCAGAATAGACCACATACTGGGTCACAAATCAGGTCTTCACTGATACCAAAAGATTGAGCTTATTCCCTGCATATTCTCAGACCATAATGCTTTAAAACTGGAACTCAATCACAAGAAAAAATTTGGCAGAAATTCAAACACTTGGAAGCTAAAGACCACTCTGCTCAAGAATGTCTGGGTCAACCAGGAAATCAAAGAAGAACTTAAACAATTCGTGGAAACCAATGAGAACGAAAACACATTGGTCCAAAACCTATGGGATACTGCAAAGGCGGTCCTAAGGGGGAAATACATAGCCATCCAAGCCTCACTCAAAAAAATAGAAAAATCCCGAATTCACCAACTAACTCTACACCTTAAAGAACTAGAGAAAAAGCAACAAGTGATGCCTAAGCCACACATTAGAAGAGAAATAATAAAGATTAGAGCAGAGATCAATGAATTAGAAACCAGAAACACAGTAGATCATATCAACAAAACTAGAAGCTGATTCCTTGAAAGAATTAATAAGATGGATAAACCACTGGCCAGTCTTATCCAAAAGAAAAGGCAAAGGACCCAAATTAATAAAATTATGAATGAAAGGGGAGAGATCATGACTAACACCAAGGAAATAGAAACAATTATTAGAAATTATTATCAACAACTATATGCCAATAAATTGAGCAACCTGGAAGAAATGGATGCCTTCCTGCAATCTATAAACTCCCAAGACTGAAACAGGAAGAAATTGACAACCTGAATAGGCCAATAACCAGTAATGAGATTGAAGCAGTAATCAAAAACCTCCCAAAAAACAAGAGTC